TGAGGTGCCGTCTTCGCTGGAATGACCCAGCAGCAAAAAAAAACACCACATGCAAATATTGGTACAATAAAATCGATCGAATTATTTTCTAGTTCTAGCCATATAAGGCAACTTGCTAATTTGCTGGAATAAATTCACTTAAACCGATTTCGTGAGTGTTAGGAAAAATCCGATTTTAATTTTCGTGTGCCGCCATCACCGCCGTCAATCTCTAGGTCACCATAGTGAAGGTGGTATTATGAAATAAAATGGAGAGCTTTGCTAGTACTTAAGAATTAAATCTGGTCTTCTTATTGACACATGCCAATCGGCTAATGAGTACTTTTGCGTAGAAAAGTTTTTTTTTCCGCGCGTGGAGCACTACTAAAGGGCATTCACATTCATATTTTGCTTAGTTTTTGGTTTTGATATTGATATCTCTCGACTAAGTTATTTATCATTAATTCTCTCAAATTCGAAGAATCCACCGACTGTGTCATCCTTGCAGCATTTAATGCTGACCCCCCCTTTTAGCATAACTAATGAGCGACCTTGTCTAATCGTGACTTGCATGGCTCTCTCTAGTCGCAACGCGCTGTGTAGTAGTCGTCTACCTGCTCTAAATCTTCCATTAATACACAGCTACTAATGAGTTAGTCAGGTAACTAGTTATTCTTTGAGTTAGCAGGTAATCTTTACTTCTTTGCTTTTCTGTATATTGCAACACTAAACGTTTAGTATACGCTTCACGCTAATTCAATTTATGGTCTCGCACACACTCTCATTCTATTTACTCTCTATTTGCGCTGTATTTTTTGGACTACTTTACAGGTAAGTTCGCTAGCTATTAGACTGTGTATGTGTGCTCTAATAATAATAATCATCATAAGCTGCGTCATCACTAAATCGCTAACTCGCTAATTACGCGAAACACTTGAACCGGTTGGTTATGGCCATATATGGGGTCCGGTCCCCAAGTAGTCGTAAATATTTATTATTGCTTTCCACTTCTTCGACTCGTAGGCCGATATTTCCGACGCATATCTACTGTTGATTTTGATGGCGTTTCGTGCCGGCAAGAGGCGGGAAGAAGAGACCGGGTAACACAAGGTTGCCGACAACGCCGCCGACTTGACGCTCCACCAATAAAATGGTGGGGAAGTGGTGAGCTACTTGTTGAGCTGCTAATAATAACTGATTTATGAGTTGTTCTTTTTTTCGTTTTGAATTTGATTTTAAATCAATGCTAAGCTCAATGCTATGCCGCTGGCTTGCATCGTCAAATGCTGAAATTGATGAATTGGTGTAAATATTTTGGAGTTGACTAAATGTTTGGAAACAATTTTTAATTTATGTTAATCTCCGATAATTGACTGAGTTTGTGAATTAATGTGCTAACTAGTTTTTTTTTTTTTTTGCCATGTTTTAGGTTCACAAAATTCTAAATATAAATAAATAAGTACTTGTCACGATCTTGGCGAGGCGGAAAGTTCATAAATTAGAATTGACGAAAATGGAAATAGAAATAAGCTGTCGTAATTCTTTGCCGTTTTTGAAGGTCATGAAAGAATATATGCACTAACCAGAATATGTTTCCGTACAGTATTTTTTTTGTAAATGTTTGCAATGTTTTTCGTAATAAATTTCTTCGTTAATTTTTAATAGAAAATAGTTCATTCTGTATCAATTGGCATATAAATTAATGATTCAAAGTTTTTACAAAATTTGGGAAAATTCGACAAATTTTCACTTTTTCACCAAAATTTTAAACTTTTAAAATATGAATAAAAAATAAATTTTATTACGAAAAACATAACAAATATCTATTAAAAAAAACACTGTACGGAAACAAATATTCTGGTTAGTGTAATTTGCGGCTAATTAGGCGAAAGCGACAAGCTTTTTATTTTGACAACAGCGATACGAATGCAATAAAAAAATTGGCATTGCATCCAAAAGCTTAGCCAAAAAGTACACAAGCGCCTTGTATATAACCAAATAGATAAACAAAGATGAACCAAAAGTTAAACGAGACAAGGCAATGTGCGCAACCTAACAATATTGACTTTGGTCGCTTAAGTGTGACAAAAATTAAAATAAAAAAAATCTAGCTTTAAATATACGTAAATATTTGCATAAAAAATTATGACTATTAATTTGAAAGAAAAAAAAAACTTTAAAAGAAATACTACAAAAAAGCTGTAAACTAAAATTATTAAAAACTCGTAAACGCGGGCATTCATCAACAGCAATGTCAAGCGCCAGCTGGCTTATAAACGATAACATTTTTGCTCGCACGAAAATGGTCAAAACACCCAAAGCTAAATCTACGAAAAACGTAAACAAAACAAAACACAAAACAACTAACTTAAAAAAAAAAAACACACACATTTACTATTCAAAACCACACAAATAAACAGACAAATCTGTCCACACGTTCGCTTCTTAATTTTTCTTTTTGAGACGGTGACGGAAGCTGCAGCTTGCTGCTCAAAGGCAAACAAGAATAAAGATTATGTCAGCAGCATATGTATCTATGTATGTATGTACGTTTCTATTGTTGTCTGTTGTCTGAGAGTTACCCTGTCGGCAATACCAACTGTGGCGCGCAGTCTAAATTACGGCGGTAGCAAACGACTACCGTAATAAACCCCCACCCCTGTAGAGGCTGCTACCCGGCCGTCTGCCCACAGCAGCATCACAGCAAAGCAGACACATTTTTGTTAGACAGGCAGCTGGCTACAAGCTATGAAAGTAGTAGTCTATGTAAAGTAAGTTCGCCAACTTATTGGCTGGCGGCGAGCGTTAAACTTCAGCTTATTTGGGTAGTCAATCAATTGAGTGGCTGCACAAGTCAACGCTTGAAAGCGGCTTAAAACTATATAGTAATTCGCGCTTAAGAAATCCAGTTGACAATTGGAAAAATCGGCTTCGTTCAATCACTATGCAATAAGGCTTTATGTGTGAATTATAATTTTTTTATTGATTTTGCAATAATTTAGTATAAATTCTAATCACTTTTTTCTTTTAATTTCTAGCAGAGGTTGAAGCAATATTTTCTTCACAGAAGCTGGCAGGTGGAAAAAACATTAGAATGTCTATGTGGTGCCTCCTTTTTCAATAACTCCCCTTTTTTCCATGAGTTTGGCGTTGATGTTATATATCTCTGTCCTAAGTTTTTTTTGCCTCACTGTGCGCCGCGAACAAAATGACATACTTTATTAAATACTGAACAATTCCTCCTGGCAAGTTAATTTTGCGTAAGAATAAAGAAAATACATAGTACAAAAACTAAGGAACTGTGTCAAATCGCTTACTTATATTAAGTCAGCCATGTCTTTGGAGCCATTTTAAGGTAATATTTCCTTAGAATAAGATACTAGTGTTCGCCCAGTGGATGAAATTCAAACACTAAAAGAGGGTTAAGGTGAGTTAACTTGAGTTGAAGTGAAGAAGGGGCAGGTGAGGTGAGTTTATATAATTTAAGTTGAATTAGGGTGAGCGAAGCTAAATTGAGGTGAGTTGACGTGAAATCAGGGCCGTCGAGAGAAAACTTAGGGCCCGGACTGAAAAATCACGGGCCCCTATACATAAATTGTATTAATTTAAAAACATGTGATCATTTTTCTTTTAATGTATAGAGTCAGCAACAATCAGCACGAATCGGAATTGGTTCTGTTATTTCTCGCCCCTTAAAAAGCGCGGGCGCGGGGGGATTCACCCCTTTCGCCCATCCCTCTCGATGAGCCTGGGTGAAATAACATCAGTTGAGGTGCGTAGAAGTGAGGTGAGGTAAATTGATTTGAGATGAAATGTGGTGAGTTGGCAGTGAGTTGATGTTAACTGAGACGAGTTGATTTGAGGTAAGTTGTGGTCCTACAGTTCGTTATTTCCTTATTTTTCAAGAACGCCCTACTTCAGAATTCGGTTCAAAAAGACAGACTTTAGACGCAAGTGGTGTGCTGCCAGCCGAAAAATCAAGGAAGATATCATCGAAGCACTAATGACAAGTGTTCCAGAGAAAGTAGTTGATTCCTACTATCACCTTCTTCATTTGAATTAAATTGTTACTAAAATATATTAGTTTCTCTCCCTCGGTGAGGTATTAAGTGCCTGCCCAACTTTTCGCATGTTTAAACACTTTGTATCTGTTGGGAACAAGAACCCAAAAAACATCCTATTATTTTTAGTTCTACTGAAAATATTTATAGCCAGCAGCGTTAAAAGAATATATTTAAATAACAATGAAACAATCATTTAAACATGAGCGCATGGCAGAACACATTGTACAAAAGAACATGTGTACGTCTAATTCGTTAAAATAGACATCCAAAAATATAAGTAAATCTTAGCAAATCGAACATCACACGCCGCATTGTCTTAAAATATCGTGTGGCCAAGTCACTGCATTGGTTATGCTAATGAATCATATTTAAGAAAAATGAGAATACTAAGCACCAAAATATTTGGCATTGGATCAAAAATACATACATACGTATTTACTATTTACTTTAGTTATTCAGAATAAAGTATTTTTTGAGGAGCTTAAAAATAAATAAATTTTGAGCTTTCTAACGCACAGCAATTGCTCGAGAAAGCGAAAGAAAAATTTTTAAATTAATAAAACAATATTCCATAGGCTGCGGCGACTTTCCATTAAACGCCGACACACATATCTAAATAGGCAAGCCTCATCAGCTAAGCGCAATTGTGTCTCACGTGTTGCATAAACTTTNCTCACACATATCTAAATAGCCAAGCCTCATCAGCTAAGCGCAATTGTGTCTCACGTGTTGCATAAACTTTCCACCTTTAGGTAATTTATCGCTTCCGCAACATACAAAAATCATAAAACACCGCGGCGCGCCACGCCACACCATGCCACGCCACGCCACATACATTATCGCAATCAACTGCAACACACAATTTTTCAGGCAGCTCACCCACGATTCACTTAGATTTATTAGAGCTCTAACTAGTTAGCAAGCGTTATAACCCCCCCACCCACCAACAATACTTACTGCAATTCGTTGATCGTGGGCTCCAAAATGTCTCTGGTCGCCGGCGTCGTCTTACCATAGTACAGCCGATGATCGTATCCGTTTATCATCGCATACGCCGCCGTCGGATTATTATTCCTATCTGCCACGCTGGAGCTAGCGGGTATGTGCACCTTGGTGGGATGTAAACATTTTGGAGCCCACGACGCCACAGCCAGGTAGATATCCGTTTGCGCAGGAGGCTCAGGTGATGTGGTGTGTGTGTAGTAACCGTCTTCGGGATCGTCTGGAAGAAAAGCAATCGTGCCATTCACCTTCTTTGTTGTTGAAGTTGTTAATGTCGTTGTCGTTGTTGTTGCAGCACCACAACTGGTGTAGAGATAATCGTTGATTGAATGGGAAATTTTCGATTTCGTTGTACGTCGTAAATGAGGTGAACCATTAGCGGGGGCGACGGTGCCTGGTGATGCAGCAGACGCTGCCGACGCAGCAGCTGCGGCATAGGCATCCAACCGCCCATTTTCACTGGCGAGTTTAGCTGCCAACATTGGCGGCAGCGGTGAATTGGTGGTCCTTGTTGTGCCAATCCACGTTGTTGTTGGCACGATCGTTGTTGTCGTCGCACCCGACGAGGAAGAGGAGGAATTACAGTAGCCATTGCGATTTGAGTAGTCTGTGTGGCAGTCACTTTGACGCAGCATGACTTTCGAGAAATCCACATAGAGTGGTTCGTCACTAGCTGGCTTGCGCTGGAATTCGTCATCCTCATCGATGGCACTGCGGCGTTCGTGTGGTTCGTGGCCTCGTTCCAGATCATCGAAATCGCGACTGTGCGGCGTGGCTGGCGCACCAACCGAACTGTAGAAACTATAATTGCTCGACGAGGATTGCGAGTAGGAACGACAAAAGCGCTGGCGGTAGAACTCATCCTCGAAGGGCAGACCTTGCGGAAATTTGGTGGAGAAGATCTTCTTCGTTTTGGGCGAGCCGTGCGACCCGCTGGAACCTGAACCCGAACCCGTCGACTCATTGCTGCCGGTACTGCCGTTCTTCGAGGCAGCAGTCGCACAATTTGACTGACCGTTGTTGAANTTGGAGAAGATCTTCTTCGTTTTGGGCGAGCCGTGCGACCCGCTGGAACCTGAACCCGAACCCGTCGACTCATTGCTGCCGGTGCTGCCGTTCTTCGAGGCAGCAGTCGCACAATTTGACTGACCGTTGTTGAATGGCACGTAATTCTTGCGACGCTGGCTGGCAGACAACAACGCTTTATTTTGCTCGCCATGCGCAACACCGCCCAAACGGCGATTATTGATATTGGGCGAGGCCGATACAGTCGCGAGCTTCAAGTCCTCTCTATACTTTTTCTTTGTCACAGCCTTCGGTGTGCTCGGCGGCAATGGCGCTGGGTAATTCTTCACCGAGCGAACGGGCACATTTTCCTTGTGTACATTTTGCGCCGTACAATAGGCGCGCTTCTGAGATCCGGCACCACCTGACGAGCGGGTGCTGCTGCTGTTGTAAAATGTGGCGCCCGAATACTTGGAATGCGAGGGCGCGGGTGCGGGCGCGTGCGAGCCACCACCGTTGCAATTCGTTGCGGCAGGCGTCGACTTGGCAGCGGTTGTCCCTGTGCCTGTGCCTGCGCTTGCACCAGAGCAAGTGCCAGAGTTTTTCTGTCGAAAACTCAGGTTGCTGTTGTGGAATCTCTCAAAGTTGGAGGGATTACGTGCGGGAGGAGGGGGCGCGAGCTGATTGCGCGTGCGCAAGTACTGTTTATTGCCACTGGGGAGCGCGCTGGTGCTGGTGCTGGTGTTAGTGGCGGGCGGAAGTGGCGCGCGTGGCTTATTGTGAGTGACACCATTGCTGCCGCCACCGCCGCCGCAGTTGCCGCCATTCGAGCAGGTGGTTTCAATGCGCCGCACCAGTTTGGGCGTAAGCGGCTTAATGGTGCTTCTAGTGACAATGCTGGTGAAACGTTTGTCCGAGCCGTTGCTGTTGCTGTGGCTGTTGCCATTGGCATCACCATTCACTTGTTGAGTATTATTATAGTTGTTGTTGTTGGTGTTGTTGCTGCTGCTGTTGATGTTGCTTTGGTAGCGCGTGCCATAGAAACTGCTGCGATAGGCTTGTTGACGCCCAAAATTATTGCCCTGACCATTGTTGTTGTTGTTATTGTTATTGTAGTTATTACTAAAATTATTGGCTTGACTTGAGTACGCTGATGACGTAGAACTATTGTGGCCATTGAGCGGCGCACCATTCTTGTTAGTATTACTATTATTATTATGATTGCTGCCGCTGCTGTTTATGTTGTTAGTGTTGTTGTTGTTGCTTTGACAACAATGCGTATTGCAACTGCCGCGTGTCGCTCGAAACGAGCTATACGGCCTGGACGCTAATTGATGACCCACCGGCATTTTACCTAATTTCTCTCTCCGCTTATTTGGTGTGGTGAGCGCAATTGCTTCACCACCGATATCAGAGTTTCGCACGATTGAAAGTAGCGAATCGATCACTTACGAACGAAAGCAAAGCGCTCGTTTTCTGCCTTTTGTTTTTTTTTTTGGTTTTTGGTTTTGTTAATTTAATTTCTTAGTGTGCACTTGTGAAATGGTTGCTCATCCACGGTAGAATGTGGTGGGTGGGTTATCACATTCCAATTTATCACTAATCAATAAATATATAAATTCGTTGTTTGGATTTCTTTACGAGTTACCGTTGTTTCCTACTACGCACCATAAGAGCACACGAATGTGTGTGTGTGTGTGTTTTTTTTTAATTTTTTGTTACTTTAAATACTAAATGTCGAGCTGTCATTTTATTTTTATTTTACTTAACTGATCACATATTTTCACTTTCATTAAATTTCTATTTAATTTTCTGCTATCGCTGTGCACCATTAAAGCACTTTCTTGATGTTTGCATTTTTCGCATAATTTCATTTAAATCGCTTTTTGTTAATTGACGTTTACAAATTTCCATTGGCAGAATTTGGCTTCGTTTTAGTAATTGATTTGGATTATTCACTTTTTTAGTTGTTTTAGCTTCATGTGTTGCAACTTGCTTTCGAGTTAAACTTTATTTGTTATTTTAACTGAAACAAGCCGATGCATAATTTGCTTAAGCGCACGCACATATGCATTTATATATAAAAAAAAAATTTGAATCCTTTTGGTGTTGGATCTTCTANGTAGTGACAATGCTGGTGAAACGTTTGTCCGAGCCGTTGCTGTTGCTGTGGCTGTTGCCATTGGCATCACCATTCACTTGATAAGTATTATTATAGTTGTTGTTGTTGGTGTTGTTGCTGCTGTTGATGTTGCTTTGGTAGCGCGTGCCATAGAAACTGCTGCGATAGGCTTGTTGACGCCCAAAATTATTGCCCTGACCATTGTTGTTGTTGTTATTGTTATTGTAGTTATTACTAAAATTATTGGCTTGACTTGAGTACGCTGATGACGTAGAACTATTGTGGCCATTGAGCGGCGCACCATTCTTGTTAGTATTACTATTATTATTATGATTGCTGCCGTTGCTGCTGCTGCTGTTTATGTTAGTGCTGTTGTTGTTGCTTTGACAACAATGCGTATTGCAACTGCCGCGTGTCGCTCGAAACGAGCTATACGGCCTGGACGCTAATTGATGACCCACCGGCATTTTACCTAATTTCTCTCTCCGCTTATTTGGTGTGGTGAGCGCAATTGCTTCACCACCGATATCAGAGTTTCGCACGATTGAAAGTAGCGAATCGATCACTTACGAACGAAAGCAAAGCGCTCGTTTTCTGCCTTTTGTTTTTTTTTTTGGTTTTTGGTTTTGTTAATTTAATTTCTTAGTGTGCACTTGTGAAATGGTTGCTCATCCACGGTAGAANAAGCCGATGCATAATTTGCTTAAGCGCACGCACATATGCATTTATATATAAAAAAAAAATTTGAATCCTTTTGGTGTTGGATCTTCTATTTTTGTTGTATCCGAATCTAAATTGCAAAATGAAAAATATGTTGAACGTAGGATATCACTGCGTATACGCAATGTTGCCTCAAATGCCGCACCTTTGCAATTGAAAAGTCGTGTCCGCTACACTAAACGTTTAGCCAGCAGCGTGAGACAGACGACTATGCCGCGTGTCTGTGCTGCTGCTGATGCAAATGTTCAGATGTACGCCTGAATTCGCCGCAGGTGTCCAAGCACGAGCAGCAACATTTGTTGGTCTTCATGCTGGCCGCATTTTTTTGTGAAAAGGTCAGAGAGAAATTGTGAACAAAAAATTGTGTACAAAAAATCAACAGCAAAGCAAAAGTTGATAAGAAGCAAAATTCAACTTAATCCGCTTGTTTGAGGACAACCTCGACTTGCGAACAGAATTAACATAGATTGTCTCGTTGTGAAAATCAATATTAGTCGCGTGACAAATTGGCGTAAAGAAAGACAATGTATATTAGTTGAGAAGAGAAGACTCGCTTAGCGATTAATTATTATCAGCAGAGTTGTCGATACCCATGAAAAATCTATTAGCATAAAAATCAATAACGGTAACACCCCAATAACTATTAAAAATCGATAACGGTGAAAAATTTAAAACAATTAAAAATCGAAAACGATGATAAATCGAAAATAACGAAAAATTTAAAACGATGAAAAATCACGAAAAATATATTAAATGACGATAAATGGCTAACGATGAAAAAAGGAAGGCGAAGAATCGGTAACGACGAAAAATCAATAACGATGAAAAATCGATAATGGCGAAAAATTGATAACGACGAAAACCCGATAACGATAAAAAATCTATAACGACAAAAAATCGATAACGATGAAAA